CTCTCGTGCAATCTGACTTCAAATAACATAATCTGATATTACATGAACATGATCACTGAAATAACTTGAAAATATAAATTTTGCACGATAAACTGAATAGGGCCGTGGCGAGCGCACCGTGCGCCGCCGATGGCGTTAGGCCGTCTCTCGACCGTCTTGACTTTTCCCTCGGCAACTCAAGATCAACTGAACATAAAACTTCATTTTAAAACTGTTGAGACAGAAATTGCACGGACAATCTTGACCATAACAGAAGATAACATGGCATGACATAGGACAACCCGTGGCATGCGCGACGTGCGCTGCCGACGGCCTTGAGCCAATTCACGAATAAAATTCAACTTGTCTCAACAATCCTGAATCTACTGAATATAAAATGATCTAAAATGACCATATAAATATGAATTGTTCATGAGTTGCCGGATAAAAATAAGAAGTTACTCGATCATGACCTAATTAGGCATAACCGAACCTATCATGACATATCTATGAATTCTTGAAACATGAACCGAACAATTCATCCTTAAATGAATTTATTGACATGAAAAGAGGTTGAGGGTGCATTTACCTCCTCAAGTGCTCGATGGAATACACAAAACTGATCGTAATTCCTTTGGTTCTCGCGTGTGTGCTCCCATGTGCGTGCTTTGCTACCTCTTGCGGCGTGGCTAGCTCAAGAACTTCCCACCAAATCTCCTAACTTCACTTCTTATAATATAGAGAGGATATATGCTTATATACGCTTAAGGAAAAGTGGGAAAAATTTCCCAAACTCCCACTTATATATAGGGCCGAAACATTGAGGGGGTGATGTAGGAGATATGTGGCTTAATTATAAGCTTGACGCTTGCCTCTAAATAAAGCAACTTAAGGTGACTAATCACCCCTTAAGCCCTCTTATAATGACACGTGCCCTTGCTTAATGAGAAGGAAAATTGCTTCCTTTATGCTTAAGAGAAATACTTACAAAAATTGGGAAATACATTACAAAAATCCGTACGGCTTTTTAGCATTAATGTGTGATTAATGTTTAATTAATCACTTAATTATGCTAATTAACTTTTAAGCATAATACTTAATTACCAAAATTATTCCGAACGTAAACGGGACGTCGAAAATAATTTTCGGTAATCTTAACTGAAATGACTGCAATAGTTTAATTCTGAAAATTAATACTCGACAATATTAATATATCGGAATTAAAAACATGATTTATACTAATAAACTGATGGGATATTACAAAACCTATTTCGATTACAAGTCCATACATGTAAAATCCTTTCGACATCCAATTTCCCAATTAAATCTTTGGGTATGATTTTGTCGAAACCCAAATTGATTTAATAACTATGATTCCATTTCAAGTTTAGTAATTCGTTTATGAATCTCTATTTATCCTGCCTTGGCCAAGGTCTTTGAATTACTAACTATGAAACATATAGGAAATTCGCTTATCTTCATAAGTGTCGAATCCTTTGTTGACCACTGACAAACTTTCATACGTATTAATATAATACCCAAAATATCCCTTTATACGATTGTGCTAGCAATCAAAAGGATAAATCAAAGTAAAATATAATATGCACAAAGTTACCATCGTGCCTCAAGTCTAAGGACTAATCATGTACTATTGTAACATGAAAATTTTTATTCGACATGATAAACTTTCATTAAGGATTTTCATACGGTCATGTTCAGTGAACTTGTTCTCTAACAAGCACCCATATATATGTATTTGCGTCCCACGCTAATGTTGATGGAATGCAACATTCTTATCTTATAAGCATAAATAATATGTGCAAGTCTTTTCCGGATTTATTCGATATCCCATCTCGAAACATCCAACGACTTGGAACTGTATTTAAGATCACAGCTTTCAAGATATGTTCCATGATCACCATGTCTATGCGCAACCATATCTTATAGCTATAAGTGATCTAGGGATTTTATCTTAAGTGCAAATATATGATAAATGCTTACTCTTAAAATAAAGTAATGCCTTATTTTTTAATATAATTCCAATAGATTGTATTTACAAGTAGAATACGTCCAATCCGATTGGAACGCCGGGTATACTACTCTAACACGTTTGTAGGTGGATTAAAATTTGATCTAGCTGCGGAGGTTCGTCTAGAGAGGCCAGACACCATGCACGTCGCTATGGAAGTTGCCCGATGACGTGAGGATCACCTAGTCGCGACACGAAGGGGACGGGCAGACGCCCGATTCACCGACACGCGACGCGCAGGCCCAAGTCAAGCGATGGCAATCGCGCGGCCGAACGTCAGCAGCAGGCCGGAAGGGCCCGTAGTTAGGCAACTGTCCCCCGAGGAAGTCAAGCGCCGACGTGAGAAGGGCCTATGTTTCAAATGCGAATAAAAATTCCCACCGGCCATTAATGTAAGCAAGATTTCGTGATAGAAGTTGATAATCCTGACGAGGAGGAATTAGAGGTCAAGGAAGAACAACATCAGGAGGATGAGGTTGAGGTGCCCGAAGAGAAAGCAGAGATATCGATGCACGCAATGGCAGGGATTCGGGGGCCTCGGACGATGCGATTGCCAGCTTGGGTCAAGGATCGTAGGGTGATGGTGCTCGTGGACAACGGGTCATCACACAACTTCATCAATGCTGACTTGTCCCAGAAGCTGAACTTACCAACCACAAAGATTGAGCCTTTTGAGGTACGAGTAGCTAATGGCGAGAGGCTGCAATGCAATGAATCCTTTCGAAAGGTGCCAATCAAGTTCCAAGGAGTTACAGTGAAGGCTGATCTCTATGCTTTACCCCTCGTCGGACCTGATGTCATGTTAGGAGTCCAATGGCTCGAAGGATTAGGCAAGGTGACTACCGACTATTGAACGGGAATTATGGAATTCAATTCTGGAGGTCGACAAGTCACTCTGAGTACTGGCAACGAAAAAGGTACCAAAGAAGTAGAACTAAATAGCATCGAAAGAGTTTGGCGAGGCGGAGGCCAAATCTTTGCAGTAGTGGTCGAGAACGCCGAGGCACACATAGAACCGGACGAGCAACAGCAGGGAGATGTGCGCAAACTTCTCGAAGAGTTTGAAGGAGTACTGGGCGAACCTAAAGGACTACCACCGCACCGAGAGTTCGATCATCACATACCACTGATCAATGAGCAGCACGCCATACACGTCCACCCTTATAGGTACGCTCACTTTCAGAAAACTGAGATCGAACGACAAGTGGTCGAGATGCTAGAGTCACGATTAATCCAGCATAGCAAGAGTCTGTTTTCTTCTCCAGTACTGTTAGCTAAGAAGAAGGATGGTACGTAGAGGTTTTTTACTGACTATCGGGCTCTGAATGCCCCGACTATCAAAGACCGATTTCCTATTCCTAGTGTCGACGACATGCTCGATGAGTTAGCTAGATCATGTTACATCTCAAAGCTCGATCTGAGAGCTGGTTATCATCAGATTCGACTCCACATGGCTGACATACCAAAGACAGCTTTTCGTATCCATCAAGGGCATTATGAGTATTTGGTAATGCCATTCGGGTTGTGCAACGCCCCATCCACTTTCCAGTTTGCTATAAATTCTATCTTCAAGGAGTATCTGCGTAAGTTCGTTCTGGTATTCAATGATGATATCTTGATCTATTCCAAGTCATGGGCTGAACATCTTGAGCACTTGAGAGTGGTGCTGGAAATCTTGGAGGCCAACTCATTTCACATCAAGCCATCCAAGTGTTCATTCGGACAGAAGATGTATCCCACGAAGGCGTGATGGTTGATCCACGAAAGATTGAGGGTATGGTCGACTGGCCTAAGCCATCGAGTCTCACGCAGTTGAGAGGGTTTCTAGGACTTACGGCCTACTACAGAAAGTTTGTGAAGGATTATGGAACCATCGCCAAGCCATCGACAAAGATGAATAAGAAAGGCGGGTTCACCTGGACCGAAGCTAGCGAGGAGGCGTTTGGGAAACTGAAAATCGCCATGACTACAACGCCAGTACTCGCCATGCCAAGGTTTGATGTCTTGTTCGTGGTACACACAGATGCGAGTGACATTGGGATTGGAGCTGTGCTAGTGCAAGAAGGACGACCCTTAGCCTATCTCAGCAAGGCACTAGGCACGACTCGACTAGGTCTATCTGTGTACGTGAAGGAGATGCTAGCAATGGTCGAGGCTATAAGGTGCTGGAGACCTTATCTATTGGGACGATGCTTTCGGATTGTGACCGACCAGCAGCTGCTCAAGCATCTACTCGAGCAAAGGATTTTTACCCCCGAGCAGCAGAAGTTCGTGTCAAAACTTATGGGATTTGGCTTTGAGATAGTTTACCGACCAGGCCGACAGAATGCAGTAGCTGATGCACTATCCAGACGGACTAATGTGGCTGAGCTTAATGCTATCACTGGGCCGGCTTGGGCTATTTGGGAAGAAGTCAGGAAGGCGCAAAAAAGAGAACACTTATTGCCAGGAGTTGCGCCAAGCGATCGAAGCAGGTAAAGCGACTGCTGTTGATTATGAGTTGCACAAAGGTCTGCTTCTACACCGAGGCCGAGTATTCAATCCCGACAAAGGGCAGTTATGCGAACAGATCATGCAGCACTTCCACGATTCTAAGATTGGAGGTCACTCGGGCATCTACCGCACATGGATGAAAATAGCCAATACCTTCTTTTGGCCATGACAGCAGAATACGATCCGAGATTACATAGCACGGTGCGACGACTGTCAGCGCACTAAGGCTGATTTGCGATGACCAAGAGGCTTACTACAGCCCCTACCGGTACCCGATGCAGTTTGGGAAAACATTACTATGGATTTCATAGAGGGGTTACCGAGTTCTAATGGATTCAACGGTGTTATGGTCGTAGTGGATCGCCTCACAAAGTATGCTCACTTCATACCCATCACTCACCCTTACACAACAAAGTCGATTGCCAGGTTATTTATGGGGTACGTGATGAAACTGCATGGGGCACCACGATCCATTGTTTCTGATCGAAATCGGATCTTTATGAGCAGCTTTTGGTCCGAATTCTTTAAGTTGCAAGGGACCAAGTTATCTATTAGCTCAGCCTACCACCCACAGACGGACGGACAAACTGAGGTAACCAACCGAACTCTCGAGCAGTACTTACGGTGCTATGTCCATCAATTTCCAAAGAGGTGGGAGAACTTTTTGCCATGGGCTGAGTACTGGTACAACACAACGTATCACGAGTCGACCAAGATGACACCATTCGAGTTGGTGTACGGACGAAAACGCCCAACGTTGATCAACTATTCGGAAGGGAGTACAGTCAATGACGAGGTTGGTCGAGAACTAGAGGAGCGAGATTTGATGTTGCGAGAATTAAAGAAAAATCTCGAAGGCTCAATTAACCGCACCAAAGCCTTCGCAGATGGAAAGAGACGAGAGGAAAACTTTGTACCAGGAGAGTATGTTTATCTAAAGCTATGACCATTCAGACATCGCATAACAGCAGAAAGAGCAGCGGCTAAGCTGGGAGTTCACTAGTATGGGCCTTATCAGATTCTGAAGCGCATTGGTCAAGTAGCTTATCGTCTAGAACTGCCAGAAAGTTCGCAGATCCACCCGGTTATCCATGTCTCACAGCTCAAGAGAAGCTTAGGGGAATCACAGAAGTATTGTGAGGATTTACCAGCAGCCGCAACCGATGGTAGGGTCATTGTGCGTCCAAAGCGAGCGATTGAGTATCACAATGTAAGAAAAGTTGGGCGCTATCGTTGGGAAGTACTAGTTAAGTGGGAAGAGTTGCCACCCGAAGAAGCCACCTGGGAAGATCTTGATGAGATGCGCGATCAATTCCCAAGTTTCGTCCTTGAGGACAAGGAATCGCTTGAAGGGTACGGGAATGATGCGGAAGTGGCTAGGTAGCTCAAGAACGCAGCGAGTAGCGCTTACCATGCACACAAGAGGCTAGCACGGGAGACGGCAGAAATGCACGCACTTGAGTATAGTGCGCGTGAGGCGAGCGAGACTGGCCAAGAAGTGGACAAGGACGGATGTGCGCGATTGGCGTGCGTATCGGGCGAACGGGCGCTGGCCAGCGGAAGTGCGTGCTCGGCGCGCGTGAGCGGGACACGAGCGACTAGCGGTGACGTGCGCGCGACATGCACAAAGGAGCAGCGCACGAGAAACGCGGGCGACAAGGGAGCACGCGCATAATGGGAGACCGTAGTCCTTGAGGCATGCGAAGAAGTGAAGGACCACGCGCGTGACGGACGCAGAAGGCGCAAGCGTGCGTGGCACGCTGAGCGCCAACACATGCGCGAATGGCGGCACGCCCTACTGCCGCAAGGATTAGGCGACGCGTAGGGGCGGTTGGCGTGAGACGGCGGGCGTGCGAGAGAGATAGAGAGAGATCCCTTGGAGTGCAAGTCAAGTTATTTAGTTTCTATCTTGCACAATGATATCTAGCTTAATTAGGATACTTAATATTTTATTGCTTATTTAGTTTCCTAGGTAGATTAGACTTAGACAAATCTTGTGCCTATATAGAGGCCCTTACCCCATGTTAATTTTTCATCATTCAAGAATTAATAGAAATCCAGAACTTTTGTTCTTCCACTTTGCTTTAGATTTTCACCAAAATTCTATTGCAATTTTATTCGTTTCAATAGGTGCGGTTGTGGCTAGAGAAACACTATCTGTGATTCAAGGCGCGGGTTAGCGGCTTATCGGCAATCGAAACACACGATCCTCATCACGGCCCAGCAGCGCCCAAACAGCACGCCCAGCAGCGACAGACCACCTTCCGAGCCCAATTCGGGAAAATCCAGCCCACTTTCACCGAGCCCAATTTTGTGAGGGTGCAAACAACTTATTTAGGAGTCTTTTCAGCCCAATTGACCCTAGGGTAGTCCAAGTCAAAGTCAATTTGTCCTTAGCCAAAGTGGGTGCATGTGCATGCATTATTTTAATGCACATGTGTAAGTCTTGTCCCCTTGTCCTTAGTGCTGATGTACCAGATCAAGATTCCCCTGCAAAGATGATGTAAAAGCCTCCAAAAAACAGTGCAAGACCAAGCCATAACCAACCATAACCTCCCCTAGCCTCCATGTGCTTGTGGAAGAGCTTTTGTCCCCTTCTTTTGCTTGTTTAGTCCGCCCATGTGCTCTCCCTATTAAGCCCCATTGATTCAGCTGAAGAATGCCATTTATCACGTAGAAATTTCGAGCCAGCACTTAGCATATAGAGAGAAATAGAGAGAAGTTAGTCCTTGTGCATGCTAGTGCCAAGAGACATCAACACCAAGCTACCTCTTGTTCTAACCAAGTTTTGCTGCACAAAGCCAATTTCATATCATCTCTGGGAGTATAAGGAGCTTAGAGAAGCAACCATTTTCAGCTTATAGGCCACCGAGTCAAGCCACGACCTTTAGTGACCCGAGAAGAGCCGAGCAAGGGACCTAGCGCCGTTTTCATCCTTCGGTGAAGGTTAGCTCGTGCTATCTTTTTATCCTAGGTATAACATGATATTTTATGATTTATCATGTAGAGAAATTAAGTTTACCTCAGGTAGAATGAGAGATTCGGAATTTTGAAGCTTAAAGCCTTAGAATCGTATTTTTCGTAGCTTGCATGTTTAGGCCGAGTTCTTGAGCTTAAGAATCCTTATAAATCATGAGTACTATGGGGTCAAAACATATTCTCAAAATTAGTAAGGGTGCTCGGTCTCTAGATGTCGATATTTAGCTCATTTTTTCACCTCCGAGCCATTTTGATATGCATGCAAGTATAAGCCATCATTTTAGCCTCATTAACAATGTTTTATGTTGCTTATAACTCGTCCATAGTCTTTTGCGAGGTAAGTCTCCGTAAGACCTAATGAAAGGTCGTGCCTTGTTATATGGTACGTACCCCCATGAGTTAGGGTAATTGTAACACCCCGCTATTTTACTGAAATCAGAGTACACATTTTTCGCAAAATTTCTGAATAACTTAATAAAATTATTAATTTGCGAAAACTGATTCGGAGTGCTACCATGAAAATCTAACTGAAAAACCGTTAATTTTAAACTTATAATAAAAACGGTTATATAATATTTTAACCGACTAGTGTCGGACCAAAAACTGAGTTTAAGTACTGAAAGTTTT